TGATTCTGTGTATTCCTCCCGTCTTCTTTTGGTGCTTCCTGCATCGTTCAATATTTTGCCCATAGAATCTGTCAGTATTGCAGCTGGAGGCTTGAAGTTTTTCTCAGTTATTTTAGCTTGAGAAATGCCGAGTGATTCTTCCCTTTGGATTTTCTAACTCCAGGTCTTTGCACAGTTGATTACAGTAATTGGCTTTGCTCAAGCTACTCTTTGAAATCTTCTGTTCAGCTCTTTCATTTTGTTATTTCTTCCATTTGCTTTAGCTACTCTCCGTTCAAGGGCAAGTTTCAGAGTCTCTTCTGACATCCGTTTTGGTCTTTTCTTCTTTCCCTATCTTTTTAATGACCTTTTGCTTGCTTCATGGATGATGTTGTTGATGTCATCCCATAATTTCTCTGGTTTTTGGTCATTGGTGTTCAGTGTATCAAATCTAATATTTAGATGGTCTCTAAATTCAAGAGGGATATAATCAAGGCCATATTTTGGCTCTCGTGGACTTGTTTTAATTGTCCTCAGCTTCAACTTGAACTTGTATGTGAGCTGTCATCAACAGTCAGCTCCTGGCGTTGTTTTTGCTGAAAATATTGAGCTGCTCCATTGCCTATTGCCACTGATGTGGTCGATCTGATTCCATCCGGCAAAGTGTATGTGTGTAGCCGCCATTTATGTTGTTGACGAAAGTTATTTGCAAAGAGTAAGTCGTTGGTCTTGCAAAATTATATCCTGCGATCTCCAGCATCATTTCTGTCACCAAGGCCATGTTTTCCAGCTACCGGTGATTCTTCTTCATTTCCAGCTTTTGCATTCCAGTCACCAGTGATAATAAGCACATCCTGATTGCGTGTTTGGCCAGTTTCAGACTGCAGAAGTTGGTGGAAATCTTCAATGTCCTCGTCTTTGTCTTTGGTGATTTAGATCGCTTGTGAATAATGTCAGTAAGGTACCTGGCACCCTCGTGGGATGAAACCATGCACAGAAGATGTATGGGAGCCTAATGTGGGGACTGGTTAGTTTTGTCACTCTTCCAGGCAGAGGGGGGTCTCACTGCCATCGAGGGAAGAGCTGGAGGTGGAGTGGAACACACCCTAGGACCAGGATCCCTGTGCCGGGCTTCCTGGCATAGAGGCGACTACAGTGACTGCAGAGGAACCGAGAGGCACAAGACAGACCACCTCACAGAGGGAGAAAGCTGAGGGTGCCTTTGGGCAAGAGGCTTGCTGGCAGAGTGGGGTGCACCTAGATGCCCTTATCAGCAGACCTGCAAGAGCTTTATAACATCTGCCTGAGCAGGGCAAAGGCTAGGACCAGAAGTCAAGGGCCAGGGAGGTAAGCCTGAGGGCATGGCAGAGGGGAGACTGTCGTGACCGAAGAATTGTATCCTGGGTGTGTTCCTGAACCTGAATTGTAGCCTGGTACTTCCCTAATAAACCCCATCATCGTGAGTGTTCTCTGTGAGTTCTGTGCGGCCACTGCAATGAATTATCGAACCCAGGAGAGAAGTAGTGAGTGCCACGAGAGGGACGGTTTGTGTCAGGAATTGTAAAAGGCTGGAGGGGGCGGCCTGTCTGGCCTCCTAGGAATAAGCCTTGGGTTGGTGATGGTGAGTCTCTCTCCCCCTTAGGAAGTTAGAGGAGGTCAGAGGCAGATGCCACTGGCACACGCTTTGTACGTGGGGTTTATTAGGGAGATAACGGGCTGGAAAGGGACATCGTGCTTGGTCAAGTGGAGGCTCAGAGAAAAAGGGGAAGACCCTCAACGAGATGGAGTGACGTGGCTGCAGCGATGGGCTTGGCATAACCAGGGTTGTGGGGCTGGGGCAGGACCGGGCGGGGTTCCGTTCCCTTGTACGTGGGGTCCTTGTCAGTTGGAGCCGACTTGTCATTACCAAACAACAGCAGCCAATGGGCTACGGTGTAGGATCTGGAATGTTGAGCAAAGTCTGCCTTCCTCGGTGCAGGTCAGGGCTCTCGGCTCCTTAGCCACGCTGGGCTCCTCTTGGCCCCTTCAGGACGCGTTCATCTCTCAGCCTTGGCCTAGCCTCTGCCCAGCTTGGGCAAGCGTTACGAAGCTCTTTTAGCTCTGCTGAGTAATGCTCAGGGTACCCCACTCTGGCAGGAAGCCACTGGGCCGAAGCTCTTGGCTCTCTTGGCTTTGTGAGCTGACATGCCCACCGCAGCCGTGCGGCTCGGGAGGCCGGGACGCCCGCCGCGGCCACGCGGCTCAGGAGGCGGGACGCCCGCCACAGCCACGCAGCTCAGGAGGTGGGACGCCTGCCGTGGCCATGCGGCTCAGGAGGCGGGACGCCCGCCGCGGCCGTCTGCCCGGGTTCTCCTGCTGCTGTCGCTTCTCACCATCCCGTGCCTCCTCCATTGTTACAGCTCTGATTCCTGGGTCCGCGAGATTCTCGCCCCTGACCCCTGGGTCCAAAGGACATGGTCCGCTCCTAGCTCTTCTTTCTTTTTCCTTCTTTTTAAAATTTTTATTGTCACTTGGGTGAAAGTTGACAGAGCAAATTCATTTTCCACACAGCAGTTCATCCACATTTTGTTTCATGACACTCACTGCCATTCCCCACCATGTAACAGCTCTCTGCCTTTCTCCCCGTGTACCCCCCCCAAGCTATCTCCCTGTGCAAACACTGCCCTTCCGTTCTCCCGTGACCACTCCAAAGAGTGCAAGGAGTGTATCAGTCTACCTGATGGAAATGTTCACCCCATATACCTGTCTGTCTGGCTGAAAGCCGCAAGAGTGAGTTCAGTTCCAGGCCTGAAGGGTGACTAGGGGCCGTAGTCTCAGGGGTCTCACCAGGCTCTATCAGACCAGACATAAAAAAGACACCTGGTCTTTTTTATGATTTTGAGTTTTGTTCCACATTGTTCTCCCATTCTATCCAGGACCTCCTGCACTGGTCTGTTTTCGAGTGGTTGACAGTGGTAGCCAGGCACCATCTAGTTCTGGTCTCATAGTCATATAGGTTGAGGATTGCATGGTGTACCAGTCGCCAGGACTAATTGTTTCCTTGTGTCTTTCATTTTCTTCATTCTTCTTTGCCCTGGATGAGGAGAGACCCATTGCTGCATCTCGATGGCCGCTTGAAAGCTTTTAAGACCCCAGTCGCTACTCGCCAAAGTAGGATGTGGAACATTGTTTTTGTGTATTATGTTATCTGGCTCTTTCCTGATGGCAGAAAAGTGCCCCCTCTGCTCTGGAATTGGCTCTCCCTCTTTATTTTTGTTTTGTTTTTTGCCTTAATGAACAGAAGTATGTTTTCTCACGGTTTAGAGGCCTAGAGGAGCTTTGGTGGAGCAGTGGTGAAGGTGTTCAGCTGTTACCCATTGGTGTTTTGAACCCACCAGCTGCTCCGCGGGAGAAAGATGAGGCAGTCAGCTTCCCTGAAGATTGACAGCCTTGGAGACCCTGTGGGCAGTTCCACTCTGTCCTCTAGGGGCGCTGTGGGTCAGAATAGACTCCAGGCAGTGGGTGTGGTTTGGGCTTTGCTTCCGTGAAGATTGACAGCCTTGGAGACCCTGTGGGGCAGTTTGACTCTGTTCTACAGGATTGCTATGAGTTGGAATCGACTTGATGGCAGTGTTTTTTTGTTTTTAGGAGGCTAAAAGTTCTAAATTGGCACTAGCACAAGCTTTAGAGGAAATAGGAGCTCTGGTGGTGGTGTGCTTAAAGCATTAGACTATTAACCAGAAGGCAGGGGGTTCAAACCCACCAGCCACTCCTCGGAAGGAAGGTTGGGCAGTCTACTTCTATAGTGATGGCGCCTCGGAAGTCCAAGGAGGGGTCTCTCTGAGTTGGGTCCGACTCCACGACAGTGCATGTGGTATTTGTAGTGTGTTGGAGGAAACGCGCTCTGTGTGCTCTGAGGGAAAACCCTGGTCCCTTGCAGCTTCTCTTCTGGGTCCCTTGGTGATTTCCACGTGACGTCAGTCTTTCTTCATTGGTACTTCCTTCTCTCTGGGATTGGCTCTCTTTTTAAGCGTCCTGAGTTGGCCAACTGACCCATCTCTCTGTTAGAGTTCCATGTACCTGGTTTGCATTATTAGGTGGCTCTCCAATCCCCTTGGTAGGCCATAAGCACCTTATTTGCATAGTCCCGCCCAGTCATTTGGTGGAATCCCAAGACCTCGTGTGGCTGGAAGGGCCCTATTAAGTAACTCACTGCCCCGCGGAGAGGCAGTGCCTTCTGCAGGTCGCGGATGGTAGGAGGCAGAGTGGTCTCTGCATCCTGTTCTTTCTGACCCAGATCTTAAGCTGTTAACCACTGTGCTTTGTGGGCAGTCTAGCATGTTGTAGGTATGTTAGACCGTCAATAGAATGGGAGGGAAACGCTCTCTCCCTGACTGCCCCAGCACTGAGCCACTCTTCATGGTGGCGTTGGGGGTCGTGGTGGTCGGGGTTGTGCCTGGAGCAGGTGAGCCTGGAGGTCTGGGTCCAATAAGGTTCCTGCTGACAGGAAGGGATGCTTAGGTGACAGCCAGCCACCTGTGACGCAGGTACCTGGAAGACAGGGGTGGTGAGGGTGATGAGATCCTGTGGAGGAGGGGAGAGCCCTGCTCTGGACTTCAGGTGGGCGCGACAGTGGTGGGGGCTCAGACAGGAAAGGCTCCAGGAGCAGCGTGGCTGTGGCTAGCAAGAGGCTGGCTGTACTCCCAGCTCTCTTGCTTTGAAGCCTGAGTGTCCCCCGCCCTTGCAGTCCTGGATCACAGTGTGTGCTGTGCCTGGCCCTGAGCTGCTGAGCCAAGTCACGAGCAGGGCACCCCTGGGCCCTCCCCAGGCAGGTGGGTGGGTGGTTTTACCCCCAGGTCTGCAGTCCTTTGGCAGCGTGGGCTCTCGCAGGCCAAACACAGGAGCACGGACTGGGGTTGGGGGTTGCAGCCCTGTGTGTGGGACGGTGTGACTTCGGGCATGGGGCGGTGCGGTGGTGTCCCTGCTGTTAGTGGTACTGTGTTCCCTGAGCAGGAGCGACTGAGGAGGAGGAGGAGGAGGAGGAGGAGGAGAAGGAAAAGGAACCACTGCCCAGCCTGGACGTCTTCCTGAGTCGGCACACGAGTGAGGACAACGCCTCCTTCCAGGAGATCATGGAGGTGGCCAAGGAGAAAAGCCGTGCACGCCATGCCTGGCTCTACCAGGCTGAGGAGGAGTTCGAGAAGGTCTCCCTGGGCTGCAGGGGTCTGGAGCTCTCTGTGGGCGGGGGCACCATGCCTTGGGGCCTTGGTGACGCCCACTGTCCCCGTGTCATTGCAGAGGCAGGAAGACAGTCTTGCATTGCCGTCGGCTGAGCACCAAGCCATCGAGAGCGGCAAGGCCGGAGTAGAGACCTGGAAGTACACGGCCAAGAACTCCCTTATGTACTACCCAGAGGGTGAGCAGGTGGCTGGGGGGCTGGGGGCAGGGAGGGCGGAGCTGGGGGCAAGGGTTTGACCTTCAGCAGGTCATGAAGTGCTCTCTGTCCTGGGCCTCCGGCAGCCTTGGCCCGGGGCTGCGTGGGCAGGGGTGAGTCTGTGTGTGCAGTCAGCGGGGAGCAAGGCCCGCTCCAGCTTCCTTCAAGTTCTGCAGATGGGAGCCTGAGCTGGGCCCGGTGCTTTGGTTCAGCAGAGAGAGAGAGAGACAGACAGACAGACAGACACACGCTGGGGGAGGGGGAGGAGGGGAGGGAGAGCCGAGGCCCTGGGGCGGGTTGAGAGCCCAGGACAGAACGAGCTCGCTCCTCTCCCTCGGGGGCTGACGGGCAGGGCTGCGCCGGGGCCTGCCCAGCGCCCTGACACCTGCGGCTGTCTGTCTCGTCCTTTCAGGTGTCCCTGATGAGGAGCAGCTATTCAAGAAGCCACGGCAGGTGGTGCATAGGAACACGCGCTTCCTCAGGGACCCGTTCAGCCAGGCCCTGAGCAGGTTCCAGCTCCAGCAGGCAGCTGCCCTTAATGCCCAGGTGAGCGCGGGGGCCAGCAGGCTCAGGTGTGGGCGGGCTGATGGCCCCGGGCCTGCACCTGCTCGCTGAGTTTCTCTTGTAAATTAAGAGCATTTCAGAGATTGGCAGAACTCAGCAGGGCTGATGTATTTGGGGCCTCTGGGTGGCAGGATCTGCAAGTCTTTTCTCGGCCTGGGTGGACTTCCACTGGGGCGCTGCCTGGGCCAGACGCAGCCTGTAGGGCCC